ATCCTCATTATTGCTTATAAAATCAGTAAGCAAATTGAAGAGAGAAGATCTTTCCAGTGTAAGTTACTCATAAGTTGAACAAAAAAATTCTAGGGAAGCAATATTCATAACTCACCAAACGGTGTGTCATACTAAAGAAGATCCTTTAGTTATACAGTTACTCCTGAGATAACTATGTTCCTACAAGTAATCCCAGGAAACTCATTGGTCCATCAAATTGGACTTGGTTGGAATACTTTCTTTGTTCTGTTGTAGATGTCATATCTGAGATTGTTTTTGATTCACATCTCCCATGACAAATCATACAGAAATGTACCTAAAATAACCTAAAATGTGAAGTTTGATATGCCCCAGAATTTCTAGTGCTGAGTGTATATTCTCATAGACTTCAAGTGACCATAGAACTGAGATATTTGTACATCTCAATTTATTGGAGAACTACTCTCAATAGCCTAGTATGAAAATAGTTTCAATGTCTGTGAACAGAGGAGTAGGTAAAAATATATGAGTTTTATTCTGTTATACAAAACAGAATTGTCAGTTGTAGGTCATGGAGTGAATGCACCAGGAAATTTATATCTGATGTAGCCCAGAAATACAGATATCACAAATTGCCTCATTTGGAGTGTGAAAAGGGAGACAACAAATATTGTGAGGTTTAAATAGGCTAATGATTATGATATATTTGAAAGAAAATATCTTAAAGAAATTCATCGTTATATGTGATGAAATGTATGTGACAATAAAAAATAAAATTCTCAAACTTGTATAAATTTTTTTGACATAGTTCTAACTATCAAGAGCACAATCAGTTCCTCTAGATCTCCTCTAAGGGATGCAGTATATCCATCCTCTAAGGATTTGGGTAAGACTATTTTTTATATTTCTCTGAAGTATCTCTTTTAGGTTTCTATCTGCTCTTTTTTACACTGCTATCTGAATGAAAGAGTTGAATTTTCTATCATCTCTTGTGTGGGGCATTGTGAATGCTCACTCATTTGAAAACCTCAAAGTTACAACTTTCTCTGTGGTAGTTGATACCCTGTAGAGATAAAATTTTTCAAAAGTTTTCTTCTTATTGATATTATCCAAAATTTTTTACATCTTTATTTTCAAATGGAGAGAAAGACACACAGGGAATGACAGAAATCTTTTGAAACCATAAAGTCTTCCCCCAGTGACACATCTCCTCCAACAAGACCACACCTATTAATCCTTCCCAAAAATTTCCAACTGATGACTGTATATATAAGACTATGGTGGCCATTCTCATTCAAAACACCACAGTGACTATAATTCTTTAACAGAAGAATGGAAACTACCTATGATAGTTAAGTTCTTACATTATGGAAATTGGCTTTTTAAGGCCGTTTAGAAGTCTTCAGATTTATCCTTCTTTCAGCCTCTTTCAAACTCAGAAAAAAATGATAATAATGAATACATACCTCTATTTCTTGCCCTTAAAAATGCCTACTCGTGACTAGTGAGATGGAGTAAAGGTTAGCTACTTTCCTCTGGTACTGTTTAATCTCAATCTCAAATCTGTCCTACCTTAAAAACAGCTACCCCTTTTACTCTCATCTTCTTATATTCTAATCTTAAATCTTTCTTCTTCTATGAATACAAAGAGGAAGCATTAAAAATTAGCCCTTCCTCTTATACCCCGGTATTTCCTTTCTCTATTGATTTCCAAATTACCCTAAAAATAGTCCCTTTAGAAAGGGAAGGGAGAAATTATGTAATTATATTATAATCTCAAAAATTAAAAGAAATTTTAAAATACAAGTTTAAAATAATAAACACACACACAAAATAGTTCTTGCTTTCTTTATGGTGGGGAGGCAGAGGGAAGGTAGGGGAGAGGATGAGATGAGGGGAGAAACTGAGATTGGGATGTAAAAAATGAAAAAAAATTGATTAATCAAAGAATTTTTAGCTATGTACCAGGCTGTGCTACTTATGGTGGCACTGGAGAGGGGGCACTGAGCTGTTGGGTATAAAGTGTGGCAAAACAGACTTTACCACCTGAAACTGCTGCTTCAAGCTCAGATCAGGCAAGAAACAGACCCAGAATAACCAGCAACACCAAAGAAGAGTACACAAGTTGAAGACAGAACACATGATCTGAAACAAGAAGTTTGTGCCTACTCAACAGCTTTGAAAGACCACTTCCCAAATACTGCTAGTAGTCTTTGTTTTCTTCAGTGCTGTACTGTGAGATTGCCTGATGAAGCAGTAGTTGTATTCTTTATTAGCTTGATAGATCATTTCCTCTCACTCCCTTTATTTTTATTTTTTCATTTTTTAATACTAGCAACTTTTATCCTTTGGAACTTGTGCAAATACTACTGGAAATGCAACATTTGATTATCACTGCAAGATAAGCTTTGATCCAAACCTTCTCCACAACAATAGACATAATGGGTACCCCCACTGTACTTCAGCAGCACTGCGTGAAACTGGCATTATTGAAAAACTGTTGACCTCTTATGGATTTATTCAGTGTCCAGAACAGCAAGCTAGATGTTTCTTCCACTGTTCACAATATAATGGCAACCTCCAGGACTTAAAAGCTGGAGATGATGTTGAATTTGAAATATCATCTGACTGACAGACTGGGAAACCTATTGCTATTAAATTGGTGAAGATAAAACCAGAAATACATCCTGAGGAAAGAATGAATGTACAGGAAGTGTTTTATCTGACTTACACCTCTGAAGGCATGGAAGGAAATGTTCAGCTAGAAACTAGAGATAAAATTAACTTTGCAATTGATAACAATAAACACACTGGTACTGTAAGTGCTCATAACATTATGCTTTTGAAAAAGAAACAAGCTCACTACTGTCAGGAGCAGTTTGTGCCATGAAGGAGACGTTTGGTTTTATTGAACACAGTGATGTTATAAAAGAGATATTCTTTCACTCTAGTGAATTTAAGGGTGACCTAAGAAACCTTTCAGCCTGGAGATGATGTGGAATCCACAATCAAGGACAGAAATAGTAAAGAAGTTGCAACAGATGTCAGACTATTGCCTCAAGGAACAGTTATTTTTGAAGATATTAGCATTTAATATTTTGAAAGAACTGTAACCAAAGTTATCCCAAAAGTACCTATTAAAAACCAGAATGATCCATTGCCAGGACGAATCAAAGTTGACTTTGTGATTCTTAAAGTAGTTCTCTTTGGAGACAAAGACACAAAATCTAAAATGACCCTGCTGGAAGGTGACCATGTTAGGTTTAATATTTCAACAGACTGACGTGACAAATTAGAACGAGTAACCAACACAGAGGTTCTATCAAATACATTTCAGTTCACAAATGAAGCCAGAGAAATGGGTGTGATTGCTGCCGTGAGAGATGGTTTTGGTTTCATCATGTGTGTGGATCGTGATGCTTGTATGTTCTTCCACTTCAGTGAAATTCTGGATGGGAACCACCAGCTCCACACTGCAGATGAAGTAGAGTTTACTGTGGTTCCTGATATGCTCTCTGACCAAATAAATCATGCTATTAGGATTAAAAACTTCCCCAGGGCACAGTTTCTTTCCATTCCCATTCACATCATCGTTTTCTGGGCAGTGTAGAAAAAGAAGCCACTTTTTCCAATCCTAAAACCACAAGCCCAAATAAAGGTAAAGACAAGGAGGCAGAAGATGGCATTATTGCCTATGATAACTGTGGGGTGAAACTGACTATTGTTTTTCAAGCCAAGGATGTAGAAGGATCTACTTCTCCGCAAATAGGAGATAAGATTGAATTTAGTATTAGTGACAAACAGGGGCCTGGATAGCAGATTGCAACTTGTGTGAGACTTTTAGGTCATAATTCTAACTCTAAAAGGCTCTTAGATTATGTGACAACTCTGAAAGATAATTTTGAATTTATTGAAACAGCTAATTATGATAAGAAAATATTTTTCCATTATAGTGAGTTCTCTGGTGATGTTGATAGCCTGGAACTGGGAGATAAGGTTGAATACAGCTTTTCCAAAGGCAAAGGCAATAAAGTCAGTGCTGAGAAAGTAAACAAAACTCACTCAGTGAATGGCATCACTGAGGAAACTAATCCCACCATCTACTCTGGTAAAGTCATCTGAGGGGTGTTGATCCAACACAGATTGAGTACCAAGGAATGACTGAGATTGTGGAGGAGGAGGATATAAAACGTAAAGTGTATCCATTTGGTATAGTTGGGATGACCAACAAAGGGGATTACCTACAGAAGGGAGAATGTCAAGTTCCAGCTGTATGTCCTTGACCAAAATGCACAAACTATGGCCTACAACATCACACCCCTTTGTAGGTCACTATGGAATGTGTGAAAAATCAGTTTGGCTTTATTAACTAGAAAGTAGGAGATAGCAAAAAACTCTTTTTCCTTGTGAAAAAAAGTTCAGCATGGCATTGAGCTACAGGCAGGAGATGAGGTGGAGTTCTCAGTGATTCTTAATCGGCACACTGGGAAATACAATGCCTGTAATGTTTGGCAAGTCTGTGAAGGCCCCAAAGTTGTTGCAGCTCTTCGACCTGATTGATTGGTCAATCACTTGAAGAATATCACCCTGGATGATGCCAGTACTCCTCATCTAATGGTTCTTCATCAGCCAAGGGGACCAGATAACTCAATGGGATTTGGTGCAGAAAGAAACTAACCACACCCACAAAGCATATCATTAATCTACTATGGTCAAGTTGAGGGGATTCTGGTGAAGGGTTCTGAATATCTTTCTCTTCATCCCTCCTAAAATCTGGAATACTTATTCTATTGAGCTATTACACCAGTTTTAACACCTTCCTCATGTTATGTTTAAAAACAAATAAATTTAAGAAACCACTTTAAATTTAAAAAAAATTAAAAGAAATAATTTTAAAATACAACTTTAAAATATCACACACTACACACATACAGAATAGCTCTTGCTTTCTTGGTGTATTTTTCCAATGTTACATGCTTCCATATAAATATCAAGTGATTATAACATTATTTTTTCTTTAGGTATCTGCTCTGAGAGATTTTCTCATTGGTTAAAGGGTTCAATGGTATTCATGATTTCAGTGTTTGCAATTATAGGAGTCATGCTCATTTTGCATCTAAAACAAAGAGGTATGTAAGCAATAAGCTGGTACTGTCCTGTAAAAGTCTTCTTCCAACTGCCCAGGAAAACATTTAGTAAAAGAGGAGTAGTTGTTGCTTGAACAATAGGCTCAATAAATAGGCCATGAGAACACGTCATAATGTGTAGATTTCAATATCAAGTGCCTTTTGCCATCATAAAAATATTATATTTCTGCTTTATGAGAGACTCTGTTATAAACATGAAAACTCAAGTCATAGACTGGAGAAAAGATTTACAAACACGTTTACAAATAAACCAAACCTAGAATATTCCATTTCTTCTTTCACAAGACAGTTGGGACAAAGCATCACTTTCTTTTCATGCTGTTTTGACTTCTCTTTAGAACAGGCCTAAAGAATAAAAGTGTGAATTGTGCATCTGTTCACTATTGCTCATAATACTTCTGTAAACACAGGCATTCAGATACCTCTTCTAGAGAATATTTTCCATTCTTCTGTTGACACGTCCAAAAATGGAGTTCTATGGTAATTCTATTTTTCCTTGAGAAGATAGCATATCCACCATTTCACATTCCCACCAATGGTGCACAAGAATGCTCATTTATTCATGCACTTGCCGGTATTGTCATTTTATTGTCTTTTTACTCCATCACCCTACCAGTTTGGAAAGTTTGTGGGGAGCTTTACACAGAGGAAATCCATCTATTCAGCTTACTAATGGTTCCAATGCTAACTAAAGCTGTAGCAATACCAGAGGGTATTGTTGAGATTCTGAGCATGATAATACAAAATGTGACACCTCGACACATTGTTCATTTATAACTGAAAAAGATTCCAAATGGCATTAGTAGGTCATTCACTCTGCCCTCCTTCCTCCTTCTTCCATTTTTTCCAAAGCAGCCCTAAAACTAGAATTTCTCTTTTCCAAATTGGATCTGGAACCTAGATACTTTCTTCCAAAACTTGGAAACCCTGATGTAGCTTCTACACCTTTGTTTTTAAGAGCTGGCCTGGCAGAGATGCTCTTTCCTGCCTTTAGCAGTAGGCACTAACAACTTCACCTAGGAAAATATCCATCCTTCATCAGGGAGGGAAAAAAAGAATTCCTAAAGATCCCAGACTGTCATGGCCTGTTGGGTCTGTCCTTCTGTCTAATCATATTTCCACAGAGCTGCCCATGCTTCATCAAACAGAAGCATAAAAATGGATATTCATCCTGAATCAGGGGTCTTCATTCTAAAATATGCTCTTTCATATAAAACTTTTATGAAATACATCTGTTATTTTTTTCTCCTATAAATCTGTCTCTTTTAATTTCATTTCAAAGCTAGCCACAAGCCCGAAGAAGGACAAGGAAACTGTTGCCCACTTGAAGTTTTTCAGAAGGATTCATTGAATGAATCTCTGTGTCCTACACTGGAGGGTACATCTGTGGGTGGATGGGGAGGAACCAAACTTCCCTCTTCACAAGGATGTAGACTGTTAATGAGTGGGTGGGTCTTGAACAGATACTCTTGGTGAGAGAAAAAATGGTACAGAGGGGTATCAGGGAAGATGTGTAGCAGCTGGAATGTTAAAACAGAGAGGAAGATGAGGATAGAGAGATCATGCTTCTCAGGGAATATGATGGCTGACAATGTTAAGACCTCTTCCATTTCACAGATTCTGATCATCTAAGAATGTTCTATTTCATTCTGTATGGTATAGAACTCTTGAGGAGTCTCAGCACTAAAAAAAAAATAAAAACAGATAAAATAATTATGTGTCCACGTGCTCTTCAGACAGACTCATAAGAGCAAGAGACATACTCCTTGAGGAGAAAGGGTACCTGTCTCCTCATAACCTCTTCTAGGCTTTACAAAACCATGCTTATCTAAAATCAAGTAGGCCAAATTTCTTCTGGATTGTTCTTGTAGATGAAGAGGGCATGAAGCAACAGGAACCTGAAAAGAAATGCTACCTTTCATGTGTAATATAGCCTTGCTCTTGACTGCAACTGTTCTGACTCTTTCCTTTTTGCCTAGTCCCTGTTTCAGATTCACATTTTGAATTGGACACTTTGTGGTTGGAAGATATTAGTGTGATCCTGTGTGTGCTGATAGTGTTCAACATCAAGCTGACTTCATTAATTTACTTCAGATTGGAAGGTGAATATGATGGTATTGGTGGCAACTCAGATGACCTGATGTGGTCATCATTCATGTGGCTGTAGCTCAGATGTCTAGAAGGTGTCCTTTCTGCTCCTTTTGTCTTAGTAACTATAAGAAAAACCAAATAAAGAACTGTGTTATATAAAGGCTGGTGGAGTAAAGCCTCCTTTTTAGGACTCCTGAGGCTTTTACTGGTATCAGTGTTGGTACCTCACATATTAATGTCTGTCGCTGGTTCTTACTACACAATTATGAAAACCCACTGTTGTGAAAGCAGTTACTTCATCAAAACATTCTGGAAAGCCTCTGTACACTGAACTCTTTGCAAGAACCATATGCTTTAAAAAAAAAAGATCTCTGATAGTTTAATCTGAAATTTTAGAGAGTTCAAACATTTATTTAAACTTTAATAGTTTTTTTTCTTTTAAAACCATGTAAAAGTCCCATAAGGGCCAGACAAGCAACATTTATAAACTTGTGTTCATGAAGGCTACATCTTTGAAACATCCTCTAACTCATGTCTAAAGCTGAAAGGCCTGTATTTGTTGTGCAAACATATTTTCCTTATGGACATGGATGAGAGTGTAGACTGATAACCCAAGAAGAAAAACTTCCATAATAGATTCTTGTGATTTATCAATAACATACAGTACTAAATTGTTCCAGTAGAAATGTACACGCATGAGGCTGGAGAAATGGCTAAGCAGTTAAGAGAACTTGCTCTTTTTAAAAGGATTTGTTTTGTGAATTTAATATATGAGTAATATATTTGTCATTTCTTATAGAAGTAACATAGGTACTTGTGCTCACAGATAAGCAATAGGGAAACCAGGAGTGTTAAACACACAGGGTTGTCTCCTCAACCTATACATTACCCCTTTTCTGCCTAAAAGTTTGGGAGCTGAGGTGACTAATAGCCTGGTGACCCCTGTGATATCTCTATAGCCAGGCCAGACAAGCTCCCAAGATTCTTATCTTGAGCTTGTTTATCTCAGTTGATCTATAGTGCTGCCTTCCCCAAGACCCTTACCATGAGCTTTGTTTGCCTTGAACCTGCTTCCTTAGTTAATGTATAGAAGCTATCTTTATGGAAGACATCACTTGTACTTTACGAGAGTTTTGATATAATCATATCCTAAGTTTTGTTGTGAACATGTCATTAAGTTAATTATCACCAAGAAACTTTTCTTTGAATTGTGCTGTGCTTAATTAAATATGTCAAAAAATAAACTACCTGTTGTCATATTCTCAAAATTTGAAACAACACCAACTACTGAGTCATGTTGAACCAAACTGTCTTCTTATCTCAAATAGATCAACATTCTGCTGGCCATGGTATTAGAGATCCTTCCCCAAAAACTGACCAAAAGTGAGGAACTCAGCATTTTTTCCTTAAATAGAAAAACCTTTAAGCCAGGAGTGGTGGCCCATGCCTTTAATCTCAGCACTTGGGAGGCAAAAGCAGGCAGAGCTCTGTGAGTTCAAGGCCAGCCTGGGATACTGAGTGAGTTCCAGGAAAGCTACAAAGCTACACAGAGAAACCCTGTCTCAAAGAAAAAAAGAAAAAGAAAAAAAGAAAACCCCTAAAACAAGTATGCAAACTGAGGGAGTGAAGGCTGGGAAGAGGTAAGAATTTTTTTTCCTTAAACAGTAGCAAAGAGATAGAAGCTTGGTCTTATTACCCAAGAGATCACAACCACAAGTGAGAGTAAAAGAAACATGGTTTCTTTTCAGTCCTTTTAGACAAAGAATTTAATTCAATTATTGAAATGTTTGTTAAGATCCAGAAGAGGAAAAACAATCAGAACAACAACAGTTCTGCAACTCTATACAAGTAAATGTAAATTCAATCCTTGGTTTCCTTAAAAAAGGAACCATTATAGATGTTTATAGTTGGAAGCACAATAAGACTAAAGTGAACAGAGTCCATGAAAGGTGAAATAAAATCCCTGTCGATTATTTTGAAAGCTGGAGTACAGAAATTTATTATTGGGACTCTTTCAGGAGATTGTCCTACAGGTATTTTTGTTTATAAATTTCATGTCATATCATTATGCTATTACATTCAGTACTTGTTTTCAAGTTTCTTCTTGTACATCTTCCAGACTATGGAGATGGCTTAAGTCATTGAAATAGTATATTCCTTGTTTGTTATGAGAAATTTATTCTCTTTCAATATCAGATAATTTCTATGTGATATGTCCAGTAATGACTCTGGAAACACAAAAAAATAAGTTCTGATTCCCTGTCTTTCTGAGACTGAAAGTCAAAACTGTGCTATCTTGTCTAAAGTATGTTTCCAGTTACTTCAAAAATCTCATTCATCCTTTTCTGGAAGGTGATATGAAGATTAAATATCCTATGGATACATATTTGGTAATCTATGGAGAAACACTTGCACACTCTCTGTTCAATTTAAGAAGTGAGTCTTTGAGCAGGATCCTAGCAGCTCAAAGGTGAGAGTATGTTTATTGACACTGGTGAAAGAGCAGGCCACTTCTGTTCTCATGATCTCTGGGTAGAACTCAATCCCCTTATTCCAGCTAATGCTACTCTCACAGCTATTCTTGCCCAAGATTGAAACTGATGAGGATTCCTATGAGCTGAGCTATCTCCAGTCCCCACAACCGCTGATTTTGTTCTCTGTTAGGTTAAGGTCAGAAAAGGAAATTCCTCTTAGCTCTGGTCGTTTTACACATCCCACTGAGATATCCTAGTCTCAAAACAAGCCTGATGCTTCAGTTCTACTTATGATGTGAGCAGGAATGGAATAATGATGCCCACCTTTTCAGTCGGTTTCGCTGTCTCACACTGCTAAGCTCCTTTTGTTAATTCCAACTCTCTCTGTTCTAGAACGTGCACCTGGACGCAAACAATATTCCCGTAAATTAAACACAATAGCAAAGATATTGCAGTTGCTGTGCTTCATAGTCTTCTCTGTAACGATCCTTCTTGTGTATCGGCTGTTACGGAAAAAAGGTAAACAGAGTTAATGGTGGTAGCATCTTTAGTTCTCCTGTTTTTCTAGATGTAGACCTCTTTGGGATTGTTCAGTTACATCATCTCCAGGAGGATCTGTATTTTGGCTGTAATCTCAAAGGATCGTATTCCGACACAGTATTGTAGGAGGAAACAACTAAAGCTGCCAGTGTTTTCAGCTGTGTTGGGGATCTGATCCTTCTATCGCTGCCATAAGAGGAAAAGCTTAAGAAAATATTGTTGAATCAACTCTCATTTACCTTAAATATTATCTCATCACTTAATAGTCAATATACATATATGAAAAGGTCAAATTTTTTATTAGTTTTTATCTTAGACCTTATAATGAAAATGTGTGAAATAGAGTTTCTCTTTAATTCCAATAATAATATTTCACTTATATGCAATTTCATGAGGCTTTTTAAACTCTAAAAACCTTCTGTGGTTCTAGTAAATAAAAAAAATATGGTTGCTATTTAGAAATGAAGTTTATGATGACTATTCTAACACTAAAATATGATTTTGATATTTGACAATATTTTATTCTTTAAAGGTTTGTAGAGGAAATATGTAGAGAGAATAGTTAGGAGCAATCAGTGCAGAGCAAGACTGTGTGTTAACATACACATTTCTTTCAAACCACAAAAGTGAACTTCAGGGTCACAGTGGTCACCAGCAGGGCTCTCTTTGTTTTCTCATTTTCCAATGTCTTGCTAAATAGGCCTTGGATCATAGGAATATACTTCTACCATTTCCATAAAATTTTTTCCTTAGCATTTATAAAACCAAGCAATCAATTCTTCTGTGCTTTTTCTTTTTCTTTTTTTTTTTTTTTTGGTTTTTCGAGACAGGGTTTCTCTGTGTAGCTTTGCGCCTTTTCCTGGAACTCACTTGGTAGCCCAGGCTGGCCTCGAACTCACAGAGATCTGCCTGCCTCTGCCTCCCAAGTGCTGGGATTAAAGGCACGCGCCACCACTGCCCGGCACTTCTGTGCTTTTATCACCTAAGGCACACAATTTGCTTTTATGTTCATAATCAAATACCCAGAAAAAAAAAACTTTGAACATCTTCAAGTAACTGCTTATTACAACTTCTGAAGATTCTGTAGGAGAAAATGTGGAAAGCAGAGACACAATATAGATCATCTCAGCCATTTCAAGAGCCATCAGAATTTAATTCCTCATTATTATAGGAGGTTTGGCAGTCTTAATGACTACATAGCTGCAGTCAGCTATTGTGGATGGATCATATGTTAGTACTCAGATACCTTTATAAACAACTAATCATCATATCACTTAGCATATTACTAACATTGGAAAAGGAAACCCTTACTATTGACTTATGCAAGTGTGTGTGTGTGTGTGTGGTTATTACCTTTATCCAGTTTATGGTTCATAAAATGTTTTTCTGGCATTCTGAAGGTCATCATGCCCTTACACTTTACTGATCCTTTGTTGTGCACAAACATTTTTATTTCCTGAAGTTTCACTTAATATTTCTAATGTCTACTATACCTTTGAGGTCATATTTAAGAAATCTTTGCCAAGCTTTGCTCCTGTGTTTTCTTTGCTCCTATGTTTTAGGAATCTTATCATCTCGGGTCTTAGCTTTACATATTTTATTTCCTGAGTTGATTTTTGTATAGACTAAGACAAGGCTTTAATTTCATTTCTGTAGACACACAGTTTACCCAGAACTATACACTGAAGAGACTATTCTATTCCATTGAGTGTTCTTGGTGCCATATCAACCTCTGCTATGGGATGGTCTTTCTGTATGCTGTGAATATGTGTTGTTATGTTGGTTAATAAAGAAGCTGCTCTGCCCTATGAAGAGTCAGGTTATAGCCAGGCAGGAAGTCTAAGAGGGAGACAGGAAGAAGAAAAGAAGAAGTGGAGGAGATGCCAGCTTGCCACCCAAGGAACAACATGCCAGCAGACTGGTAATGCTGTAGCCACATAGCAATACATAGATTAATAGAAATGGGTTAAATTAAGATGAAAGAGATAGCTAGCAAGAATTCTTAGCCATAGGCCATATAGTTTGTAATTAATATTAAGCCTCTGAATGATTATTTTGTAAGTGGCTACAAAACCATGGGGGGAGGGGCAGGTAGAACCAGAGGAATTTCTGACTACAAACCTCAGTAGAAAATATATACCTGGGTTCATTTCTAGCACGTCTATTTTGTTCCTATAGGTCTGTTTTAATGCCAGTTCCATGCTAATTCCATGTCACTTTGTATTTTGACGTTTAAGAAGTGTAATGCCTTAAAATTAGCTATTTATCCATTCTTTGGTTGAGGGGCATCCAGGTTGTTTCCAGGTTCTGGCTATTACAAATAATGTTGCTATGAACATAGTTGAATAAATATCCTTGTGGTATGAATGTGCATCCTTTGAATATATGCCCAAGAGTGGTATTGCTGGATCATGAGGTAGATTGATTCCCAGTTTTCTGAGAAACTGCCATATTGATTTCCAAAATGGCTATACAAGTTTGCACTCCCACCAGCAAAGGAGGAGTGTTCCCCTTACTCCACATCTTCTCCAGCACTGGCTGTCATCAATGTTTTTGATCCTAGCCTTTCTGATAGGTGCCTCAATACAGGGAGGGAGGGGCTTAGTCCCACCTAAACTTGATATGCCAGACTTTGTTGACTCCCCATGGGAGGCCTTACTCTCTCTGAGAAGCAGATGGTGGTGGGGTAAGGGGAAAGTAGGGATGAGAAGAGAGAGGAGAGAGAGGGGGAACTGTTGTTGGTATATAAGAGGGAAAAAAACCTTTTAAATATAAAAATAAAAGTAAAACTAGATAGTTGTTTACAGAATTCCTTTGGAGTCTGGTGGGAAAATCATATAGATCAATGTAAATTTTATAATTGTTTTCCTTTAGTTTGGAGGTTAGGTTGCACTACTGAGTATAATTAGTATTATAAGACTATAGCCTGCTACAAAAGTGTATTGGGATGTTAGCTAGACTTCAGACATGTGAATGCACAAGGGCTTCTATACATTAAGATAATATGCATTTTTAATATATATTCACTCTAAATACTGCACCCTGATGCAGAAACCTAGGTTCTAGGGATTGTAGAAGAGACTATGTGAATCCCTTCTTTGAAGCAAAGCTCCTGTACAGAACCCAGGCTGCTACATAGTTGAAATCTAGGATCAACATAAATGCAGAGCACTTAATTTGTTAAGACTTAACAGTATTTGTGAGAGGGCTGACTTTGACTTTCTGATTTATCTTTCCACTATGACTGCAGTACCTTCTTTTGGGGAGACAGAGGGTTTTGTTCTATGTCTTTGCCATTACTTTTGGTCTTTGTGTCTTACAGGGTTCACACCTTTTACTTGCTTAGTTCACATATTCTCCTTCAGCTCCTATAGTACAAATATCCATTTCTTGTTTTAATTCTTAATTTTAGAGGCTCTAAGAATTGGTCATCTCTGTTCAGCATTCTCTTAAAAATTATCATTATTATTATTATTATTTTATTGGCTTTTAAAGACCTGGTTTCTCTGTGTAGTCCTGGCTGTCCTATAACTTGTTCTGTAGGCTAAAATGGCCTCAAACTCTACAATCCACCTGTCTCTGCCTCCTAAAAACTGGAATTAAAGATATGTACCACTACACTGGACTAACATTGTATGCATGTAACATTTAGGAATTTTCCTCTGTGGTATTTATTTATAGCCTTCTGTGTTAGGGAATCATAAATGACAAAGTCATGTTTCTTCCTTAGGTAATATTACTTAGATTGCTAAGTATTGTTCGAGATCTACAGATTAAAAAATGTTGTGGTAGGTGCCACAATTTCAGTGCTATATGAGTGTGTCCTTTTGTATTTTTGACAATTTGTATATAATATGTCCTGGTGAAATCTTCCTTGAGTTGAATTTCATTGGACATCATTGAGCTTTATATAGCCTGATGCTCCTACCTTTTCCTAGAGTTGTGAAGTTTTCATTTATTATTTTTTTAATAATTTCTTTTTCCCTTCTATAACTCTTATTATGCAAAACTTAGCTTCCTGGTTATGTCTTCCATTCAATATAGGCATTATTCATTCTTTTCATGTTTTGCTTTTCCTCCTCTGTCTGGATAATTCCAAATAATCTCTTTTTTAGTTTAAAGATTGGTGACTCTGTTTGATCAAGTTTCTTCTGTTGTTGATGTTCCCTGTTGCTATTTCATTTCCTTCATTATGCCTTTCAGTCCAGTAATCCTGTTTGTCCCTCTTTTATGATTTCTCTCTACTAAACTTCTCATTTTCCTCAGAAATAATTTCCCCAGTTATCTATGTTCTTTTGTTGTTCACTAGGTCACCTTCAAAGTTAATGTGAAACTCCCTATGAGGAGAGCATGGGGAAAAGATGGGGGAGATAGGGTGAAGAAGGAGAAGGGGAGGGAGGGGAACAAGGCTTGGTATATAAAATGAAAAAAAAATTAAAATAAAAATGGTTAGAGAAAACCCATAAAATAAAGATGTGAGTGATTGCATTAAAGTAGAGTTTGCAAAATTAATAATAATAATAATAATAATAATAATAATAATAATAATAATAAACAATGTAAAACCATTGAGGTCCTATTTTCTTTGGACCAATTGATAGGTCCTCGTTTCTTTGGGATCTATTATTAGAATTCATTGTGTCCTTTCCCTTACAAATCTTTTCCTTGATAAGCACAAAAATTACCTTAAACTTAGTGATTTAAACCAAAAGATATTTGCTCTTATAGTTCTGGGTGTCAGAACCCTGAAATGGGGCTCACTGGACTAAACACACGGTTTTCCTTAGAGTCTAAGAAGAACTGACATACTTGCTTGTTTAGCTTCTGATTATATAGATTATACAATTATATTGTTAGTTGGAGCATCATTTGTACATTTCCAAGTGTTTTTTCATATTTTGGGACGATTTTAGTTACCTGTAAATGTGATTATGAGCCCTGTTTTCTTGCTAGCTGTCATGGAGAGACTGAGTTGAATTATGTGAGATGCTTCCCACAAGACTTGGCAAGCAATGATGGATCAGATGTCTTTCCATCTTACATCAATCACTCTGTATCTTCTTCATTCTGACTCCAGCTAATGAAAGTCTCTGCTTTTAAGAGTTTATATTATTAGATTGGGTCTACCCAAATAATTCTAAATAGTCTTTTTTTGTGATTTATAGCTTTAATTATATCATCAAATTCATTTTTCTGTATAATATGTTGCAAATTTCCAGAAGTAAGAATAGAAATTTCTGAGATCAATTCTGCTTACTACACTATGGCCTTCGCCGGGCGGTGGTGGCGCATGCCTTTAATCCCAGCACTCGGGAGGCAGAGCCAGGTGAATCTCTGTGAGTTCGCGGCCAGCCTGGGCTACCAAGTGAGTCCCAGGAAAGGCGCAAAGCTACACAGAGAAACCCTCTCTCAAAAAACAATAAATAAATAAATAAATAAATAAAATAAAATACAGTATGGCCTTCAAAGATGTCTCTTAAACACAAAATTCATTTAACTCATTCTAAGGTTCCCCCAAATTTTCATCCTATTGAAGCATCAAATCAAAGTTAGCAATGCAGGATTATAACAAAAGGATATAAAATATCTATTTGATATAGTTGTAAGAACTAGTTGAATCATAAGTAGCAAAAGAATACCTTTATAGGTTAAATTGTTTTTCTCTTCATTCTTTCCCTCCCTTCTTCCCTCCCTCCCTTCCTTCCTTTCTTTTTTGATACCACATTTCTTATGTAACAGAGGCTGTACTCAATCCTCCTGCCTCAGCCTCCTGAATGCTGATTACAGGCATCTATCACCAGATTCAGCTCTGAAGAATCCTAAGAGGTAGTAAAATGGTATTATGTGATATCATTTAACTTCTCTATGTCTAGTACAGAGACTCATTAATGTTCCTACTTTTGAACTTTCTTAACATCTATTTCAGATCCCTCATTTCCCTTATACAAGAAGTGGTTGATGAATATGGCAATGGTGGTAGGATTTCTGACAGCAATTTTCACTATTATAACAATTGCATTATCATGGACACACATAAGAAGTAAGTAAGATCATTGCAATAAAACTAACACAGGGTATTTCTTCTCTTGAAGTTCTCACTTTATAATTTATTATTGGCCAAGATTCACTCAGTTTCTCAAGAGAAGACAATTTAATTCCTAGACTCATTTTAAATTCAAGTTGCCATTTTCTCCTGCCGAGTTTCTATTTCAAGTGTGCAATAAAAAAAAAAATAAAATAAGGTTTGGTCTGGAAAGATGGCTCAGTGGTTAAGAATACTGGCTGTTGTTCCAGAGGACCCGGGTTTGATTCCCAGCATTCACATGGCAGCTGACAACTGTCTGTCATGCTAGTTCCAGGAGATCTGATATCTTCTTCTGACCTCCAGAGGTACCATGTGGTGCTCAGACATACATGCAGCCAAACACATACACATGGAATAATAAAATAATTTTGAAGACATTTTTTAAGTAGTAGGCTTTTTTGTTCTCTTACTAATAACATACAGAATGCTAACTGAGTTGCTCAGATTTTATTACCCCATGCTTCAGTGAGTGAACCAATTTGTTTGTTGACATTTTTTGGAACCTTCTAAAACACGAAGTTTGCCTCTTCAAAGATATTTTGATGACATTATTTTCTATATATAGATCATTTGTCCTACTCTTATTTATTTCAGGAATTTTAAATCACCACAATTTAATCCTACTTGGATATTATTTAACTCACTATGTATGTGAAGAAATTTCACTGTTTTCCATTTTTGTTCAGCTAAACAATTTAAAGTAATAGGCATTAAGTTAGAGATGCACCAATTTTATCATCAAAATATTGTTTTTATGTAATAAGGGTCAGTGTGTTTTCAGGTATTTGATATTTCCCAATACTGATATTATTCAGATGGCAATTCAAAATGTCATATTAAATTCCATTGTTTTCCTTACTATAATACCTTTAAATGAATATTGAATAAATGATGTGCATCAATAAATACTAGAAAAAGGCTAACCATGTATGAAATTCTGAGAAGAAAGGTATTCTGAGCTCATAATTATACCCATTCCAAATAGTTTTGTTTAAGAGAAAAGATAGTCAGAGTTTAAAATATACTAACATAATTGAATCTCTGAAATCATTTGAGAAATATTTGCCTCAAATGGGAATAAGGAAAGATAAAAATATTAATATATAGGAAATATACAAAAGTAAATTACCAACATTTTAATGTAATAATTATCTTATAGTTATAATTTAATGAGTATTTAAATGATAGAACCTGAAAGTATAGTTGGGCCTCTGTATCTACAAAGTATACCTCCCCAAATTCAATCATTGTAGATAAACATATTTTTAAATCACTATACTTGACTAGAACACCAATCCAGGCACAAAATCTTTCTGTCCTGCCTCTAACATGTGCCGGGGCAATGGAGGTACAGAACTTGTAGGAGTCGCCAACTAATGACTGGTCTAACTAGAAGCCTATGTCACAAGAGAAAGCATAAGCCTGATGCTGCCTGGATGGCCAGAAACTGGAGACTGGATAGTTCTAGGACAGAACCAACTATGACTGTCCAAAAATAAGTTGAAATGATTCCTAATGATATTCTGCTATATTCATAGGTTGGTGCAAAACCCAATGGACTACTGCAACAGATGATAAGGAAAGCAGACGCAATAAAAAACAGATAAACATTATTTTGACCTTGGAAAACTTGAAGAAGAAAAAGAAGAAAAAGGGAAGGAAGGATTGTAGTAGTCAGAGGGATCCAGAATACCAGGAGATCATGGTCTACAAATCAATTAAGCAGGGCTCATAGGAACTCACAGCGACTTAAGCAGCAATCACATAGCCTGCGTGTTTCTGTACTAGGTCCTCTACATTATATGTTATGGTTGTTTAGTTTGGTATTCTTATGATACTCCTAACAGTGGAAGTGTGTGTACATAGCGGGTGTCTTTGACTCTCTTGCCTGACCTTGGGACCCTTTTCCTTCTACTGAATTGCCTCATTGAGATTCAATATGAGGGCTTGTGCCTAGTCTTACTGTAACTTGTTTTGCTATGTGTGGTGGTATTGTGTTCACCAAAATATTGTGTACCTTAATAAACTTATCTGGGGTCAGAGAACAGAAAAGCCACTAGTTAGGCAGTGATAGCACACTCCTTTAATCCTAGCATTCCAGAGGCAGAAATCCATGTGTTCAAGGATACAGACAGGCATGGTCACTCATCATGCCTTTAATCCCAGGAAGCAAGCCTTTAATTCTAGGGAGTATTGGAGAAAGCAGAAAGGTATATAAGGCATGAGGACCGGAAACTAGAAGCATTTGCCTGGTTAGGCATGTGGCTGGTTAAGCATTCAGCTGGTTAAGCTTTCAGGCTTTAGAGCAGCACAGTTCAGCTGGGATTCATTCTGGATGAGGACTCAGGGTCTGAGGAAACAGGACCAGCTGAGGAATTGGCAAGGTGAGATAGCTGTGGCTTGTTCTGTCTCTCTGACCTACCAGCATTGACCCAATAACTGGTCTCAGGTTTGATTTTATTAATAAGAACTTTTAAGATTCATGCTACAGCTATGTTTGATAGATATCCCTTGGATGCCTGCTCTTATCTCAAGGGAAACTGCAAAAGAGTGGATTTGAGTTAGAGGGAAGGTGAGGGGGGTGTGGTTTTGGGAGTAGTGGAGAGACTGGAAACTGCAGGCTGGATGTATTAGATGACAGAAGAATAAATACAAAAACATATGTTGTACTAGTGCTGAACATGTGAGGACATTTTTCTTGTCAATACAACAATAAAGGGGAAGAAAATAAGAGACCACAGAAGGCTCAGCAATAAAAAGAATATACCATACTACTGCCTCCAAAGACTCACAGATTATTATTTATGAAGAGAAGTGGAAAGATTACAAAAGCCAGAAACAATGATGTACTACAAGGAAACAATGTCTTCTGGATATGCAAGACTGTGCATATAGGAATTCACAGTGGTTGAGACACCATGCATACTACCTGTGCAAGCTCAAGCCAGGTCAAATCCTGACATGCAGAAGAGAGGTTGGCATGAAGTAAGTCCCACGCCTAGCAGAAGAGCTATTGACAATTGTTAGCTGTTGTGGGAAGGAGGATCAATTTTCATGAAAAGGAAAGCTGCCAGTAAGTTGTTCATGCTGCATTGGAAGGCCACACCGCAAAAAATATTTAGGAAACACAAATTGACTTTGAATAAAAAGCAAAAATACACAGAGTTAGGTCAGGAAAGAAAAAAGGATAGATCTTGGAGGAGTTACAGGAAGAAGATGAATATAATAAAACTTGTACAAAATTCTAAAATAATTAAGGAAAATATATTTTAAAGCTGATAAAGAGTCTTTAAGTAACATAATAAACTCTTGAGGGAGGGAAAGATCTGGTCAGGATGTATTGTATGAAAGAAGAATAAATAAAAAGAAAAAATTTCATAGAACACATTTAACATTTCCATTATATTAGGTATTGTAAGAAAATTTGATTTAACTTATGAAGTATATAGGAGAATGATTACTGGATATAAGCAAATTATGTATCATTTTATATAAAGTACTTGAACAATGAACAGACTTTTATATCCACAGGGATTGTTGTGAATGACTAACTTGTAAGCCAAGGGATGGCCATCTTGGAGAGCTCAGCTGTACCCACTTGTAAAATTATTTTCCTAGTGAGATTTATTTATTGCTTATGCCTCCTTCTGGAGGAATAAAGATGGTCATAGGACCCTCACTTGAGTATCCAGAGCCTCCTTATCATGTGTTGTATACAACTCTTCCTTATTTGCCTGGGCTATTGTAGGGAGCCGCCATTCTAAGATGGCGCTGGCTTCCTGGTAGCCTAGCTGTAAACAACTCCATATTTGGCTATGATGCACGAGTATGGTAATTGGCCTTATGTCCTCAGCCTATCCCGTGGCTCCCCGTGCTTGCCTTCTGGCGGGACCCAATCACAGTACGGCACGTTTGCCTGATTCCCTATATAAGCAGCTGCAGTTTAGTCCTCGGGGCCCCTCACCTCCCGCTCTCCCTTAATCAAGAGGCGCTCCAATAAAGTGTGTTCTGAGAAGGATCCTTGCATGGTGGTCGTTCTTCCTCGCTGGCCGAGGAGCTCGCCGCAGGCTATGATGTATAGATTAAAGGAGAGGAGAATAGATAGGCTCCATCTATGTGGCTAAGGGGAAAACCTTATCCCTACTGAGTAAATGCTTTCTAAGTGCAGCCAGTTTCAGGGAGAAGAAGGGGCAGTCACATCCTTGTAAGTAACCTCTCACCTAGGCTTTATTAGGAATCTCAATAAAATCATTGGTTCCTCAGCATGAACTTTGGTAGGATCATGCCTTGGCTTACTTTGGGACCTTAGGAGAATGGGTAGATGTTGCTGATGTTCCTCCCTATGAAGTATTTGTAGCAACAGGGTCCTGGAATCAATATTCCATGGATACCAATAGGTAACTCTATATTCATTACCTAACCAATGAGTATCAATAGCTGCTACTATCACAAAAGCAGAGATTGGATTGTTAATGGAGATAAAATAACTAATCTACCCATTATACTACTCTACTTATTATGGCTTCTGATAAAGGAACTTGAAAGATAATGATATAACTTGTATTCTAACCTCCATTTACACCAAAGAGAAAAAATAACATACTAAACAAAATTGGCAGAGATGCAACCAACAAAATTTAGACTCATGCTGTAGTTTCTCCTCTCATATTGTTTTTTGTTTGTTTCTTTTTTTATTTTATAATTTAATTTAATTTCACATATCAGCCACAGATTGTCCTGTCCTCCCTCCTCCCCCTCCCTACCCTCCCCCCAATCCACTCCCCATTCCCGTCTCCTCCAGGGCAACTCAGTGAAGAATTTGGACTATAAGGCAGATGTAAAAGTATGTCCACTGCTATTGTTTAGATTTCAGTACCCTCCAAAAGTCCAAATGGCAAAAGCTCGGTCCTCAGTATAGTAACACTGAAGGACAGTGAAATCTTTAAAAAGGGAAGACCAGTGGGTGATCTCTGAGTAATTGTGGGCACACACTCAGGAGAATGATGGGAAATTGGTCTCATCATATTTATTTTGTTTTCTAACCATTGTGTGAGTGGTTTTGCTCTGCCATTTACTCATTCCATGATGTACAGCCCCCTGTTCAGACGCCTGGAAACAATGGGCCCACTTGTATATTTACAGAGAAAATTGACTGAGGTAGGGAAAGTGGGGAGACCTGACCTCAAAGTAGGTGTTGCTTTTGAAGTCTGAAAATTAGGTGTTGTCACCTGCTTGAGATACTCAAGCCTTCAAATGTGGACTGAGTATCAGTAACTTTCCAAAGAACTTCCAGAACTTCCACACTGTGTTGGAACTGCAAAGACATCCATATTCATGGATTAAGAAATTAGTGGATTTCCTGTCTTTTTATATCCTACTGCACAAACCAATTCAATAAATTGTATTTTATAATGTTATAACTTGTATTGGTTCTATTCTTATTATGGGTCATAGAGTTCACAGTTGCCAGTAATGTTTGGGGTCTTGCCAGGGTCCTGAATCAGCTGGGTTCAGGTCCTGAGATGGGGAAGGGGTGTCAGCATAAAGAAGAGTCTGACCACCAGATGACTTTCATACATGGTACCTCCCAATAGCGCAAGCCTTCTTTATTTATACTTTAAAAACAAACATATTTTTACACCCACCCTGGAATTAACCTCTGACAAAAACAAACATGTTTTTAAACTTTTAAATCAAAACAAATTTTAAATGAAAAACAATGTTCCATATTTTGTTACTTGGCTAAATATCAAGCCAGGAACATCCTGTCCTTACAAAGCTAAAAGGTGATAGACACAGATATATATTCTCAAGAACAACAATATCTTTTAAAACTTAACAAAGTATATTTACAGAAACAGGTTTGATTTGTCATAAGCTATGTGCATACAGTTAGCTCGTATATTTCTGTTTCCTTGTCCTACAGAAGGGTCATGTATACCTAAGCCTTTCTATAAAGGGTAAACTTTGATAAGGCACTTATTTTTTATAATGCCACATCATTCTTAATGTATTTTTTCCAGAATGGGGAGACACGGTTAATGTCTTCTGTGATGCTTCCTTTTATGTGCCTATTAACTTGATTGTTGCTGATCCTGTCACCACTAGATCAGAATAGTTCCCAGGGTCTAGATTCACAGCTGGGATATTTGGATAAGAAACCTGAGAAGCATCAGTTCCCATAGAATTTTAGGGGAAAATATTTGAGAAATAAAAATGGGGTTTCAGGAATTGATTACATCTGTCCCAAGCATGACTGACAAAGTGAAACTAAAACCCACCAAAAGAATCATCAGCATCATAAGGGAGGAAAGGGTATGCAGGACACACTGTCCTAGTGGTATTCTGCACTGTCCTGAGGTCCACGGATTCTTGCCTAGTGAGACACTGTCTCCAAGGCTCTTGCCTCTCAGAGACATATTGGACATGCATTCATATGCTGACCCAAAACTAGGTCACAGGGCTCCCAACAGGGTCTGTCAAACACCATTGGCCAACAATTACTCTATACCACTTATTGGACATTGAATTTACTATCATGAAGTATCCAATTGGAGAATTGCCCCTTGATTATAGGGTAACCTATTTAAACTCATATATATATATATATATATATATATATATATATATATATATATATATGTGTGTGTGTGTGTGTGTGTGTGTGTGTGTGTGTGTGTGTGTGTGTGTGTATGTGTGTGTGTGTGTGTGTGTATTTAGAAAGA